GGATATGGGTCGCATAGGGTCAAAAAATCGGATTTGATGCGCTTTCGCCTGCAGTGTGAACGTAGCCTTTGTCAGCTTACTTTTACTCTCGTTTCCTGTCTTATGTCCTTTTTTAAATATCCCCACTTGTCTCCATCCCGCCTCCCCACTTTAGGAAGGGTAATGTGAAGACCATGGCAGACCGAGTTCTGTTGATGAGGGATCAGCTGAAGGCCAAGCTGCAAGCTCTGGGCACCCCGGGGACCTGGGACCACATCACTCAGCAGATTGGCATGTTCAGCTTCACCGGCCTAACTCGTGAGTGAAAACACACATACACGCACTAATGTAGAAGCACATCCTGCTTTTAACATACTGGTGTTATCAGAGATAAGCGTCACAGTGGTGGAGGGACCTGCAAGATACCCAACACATCCTTAAAGGAGACGTATTAAACTTGATATTTCTGTTCTTGGACTCTGCTCTTCACTGTTAAAATATCTTTATATGTCTTATACTTGGCTTCTGTGCAGCCCCTCAGTTCATATTCTGTTTGAAACAAGCGGTCTTGGCTCACTTTATCTTCACATCATTTATGAAGTTCACTCACTCTGTTGCAATTTGTGCTACAGCCAAACAGGTGGAGTACATGATCAAAGAGAGGCACGTGTACCTGATGGCCAGCGGTCGCATCAACATGTGCGGCCTGACCAGCAAGAATATCGACTACGTCGCTCAGTCCATCCACGAGGCCGTCACCAAAGTCCAGTAAAGGCCATTTGTGCCCGTCCACTTCCTGCCTCCTGTACGCCACAGGACGTTTCATCGTGTCTGTGCCCCTCTCTTTGCTTATCCTCTCCTCCTATTGGTCAAACTGCGTCCTCACAATTTGCAGTTGAACCAACGGGAGGAAGGATGTGTTTTTGTTCTCACATGACGGCGTCATTTTATGGGAGGTACAGTGGTTTTTGGAAGAGCCAGGTATGATCGAACACGCAGACGTGACAACCCCATCATTTGTTTGAATTGTTGCCTCAAGCTTCTGTGCAGTCCAAATCATTCCACTCAAACTGGACACTAGAATGTGGACTGGGAAGATTTGCGATGAAATTATGCTTCCTACACAACAGTAGTACTGAACAAACTGCAGCACAGGAAAAGTCGTGTAAATAGATGTAATTACTGTTAGAGTCCTGCCATTTCATTCATAAGCACTGACACCACAACAAATCACTTTCCTGTTTTTAGCCATTAGAATATAAAAGCTGGTACTGTAATCTTGATTTTATTTTGTTGTGTTAAAGTTTAACGGTCATCATCATCATCTCAAAGGTAAAGCACATGCCTGATGCTGTGTTGCCTTGTTTTAGACATACGGCAGAAGATAATTTTTTTAGCCACTAAGTCAACAAAATCGCCTTCTGTGCCATCATTGAACAAAAATCACCTTTTTCCTCTCTCTGTTACTTTGTTTCCACCCTGCAGTGCCCTTATGTTGTTACACAAAGCCGCTGTAAGAAGCCACTGATCAGACCGCAGAACCTGTT